GGAAATCAAAGTGGGTTACTATAATATATCCTGCTATTTTTTATTAATTAAAAAGATAAAAATGAAAAAGTAAATAATAAAAAAGGAGATTAAGATAACAGAGGACATAACAACAAACAGCACAGGTCAAAACATAACCATTTAAGCAAAATAGTGTTTTACCACAAGATATCCCGAGACAAAAGTAGTTACCGTAATGTCTCTTTCCTTGAAATCTTTGAGTATAACTTTGTATACGTAGCATCAAACATATCAAGACAATGTAAAACCATTCAAGAGAATGACAGTATTACAGGGTATTTAGAGTCAATTAACAGAAAATGAACAATGTTTTCTATATAATCTCCTTGTCTATAAAAGTTTTTGTTTATATTATCACATATAATAAAATCCAATAAGATACAACATGTTAAGAGCGATGGAGACAGAAGAACAAAAGCTTGATGGAACTTCAAAACAAGGTAATATTAAATCAGCACTAGGAATTATGATGTCTTGTTTTCTCCAAAATAGCTGTTCCTGCCATCCAACCTTCTCTGCCTCATTTCTGTTGAGCTCTTTTTCTGTCATTAATTGTCAGTTTGTTTTCTTCATTTCGCTTTCTGTTCCATTCATTGTGGCCTCTCTGCCACTATTTCTGGAATCTTGGTATTTTTCTTTTTTTAGAACGTCCTACAGTATTCTATGTAGAGTTGAATTGGTGGCTGCAAATTCCCCTCGTTCCTCTTTATCCTGGAAGCACCTTGTTTTTCCATCAATTTCTAGGGACAGTTGGATATATCAATCTTGGCTGGAGGTTATTATCTTTCAAAGCTTGAATTATTTCCCCCCATGCTCTTCGTGATTTGATGGTTTGTGCCAAGAAGTCTGCTGTAATTCTGATGGGTATTCTCTTGTAAGTGATCTATTTCTTGTCTCTGATGGCTTTTAATATTCTGTTCTTATATTGGATTTCTGGAATTTTGATTATATTATAATGCCTGGGTGTTGTTCTGTTTGGGTTGTAGGTGGCTGGGGTCCTATATGCCTCATACATCTGAGTATCTTTACCTTTTGCTAAATTAGGGAAATTCTCCTGGATTATTTCTGTGAATAGCTTTTGTAGTCCATTTGTTTGTGTCCCTGTTTCTTCTTTTATGTTCTTAATTATTAAGTTATAGATCCTCTTATCATCTTCCAGCCTTTGTATTATAGCTGTTTGTTTTCTTGTTATTTTTAGTAAGTTTTTCATTTCATGCTCCCACATTACAAATCTGTCCTCCAGTTCAGATAATCTATCCTTAGTTTCTTTCAAGCTGTTATGCCAGCTTTCAATAGAGTTTTTAGTTTCCTGGTAATCTCTTTGAACCTGCTTTATGTATTTTGTTTTCTCTATTTTCTCCATCAAACAATTCTCCCCTTTTTTTCTGTTCTTCCATTCTGCCATCTGTTTTTTCTTGGGTGGTACTTAGCATTTCTCTAACTATTCTACTTATATCTTGCTTTAGGTCATTAAATACTTCACTTTTGAACTCATATATGAGGCTCCGTAGATATCGCTTTATGTCTATTGGTGCCATGTCTGATATTCCATATTTTCTGTCCTCATTCTCCTTTGCATTTACCTTTCCTGGATCAGTGTTCTCAGGACTGGCGACCAAGGACCCTTTTTTGTTGCCTCCTCTTCTCATATTTTTTGTTCCTTCCATAAAGGCGTATATAGGAGGCCCAGTTTCTTTCTTTGTTGGTTACAGTTTGTTTGAATCACACTGGTTAAGTGTTCCCGCCCACTGCAGTGTACTAGGGAGACACAGACCTGGGCCACCTAGGCTGTGCCTGCCCCTCCAGGTCAACCTACTGAAGGCTTCACTGCTAGGGTATCCAGTGGGCTGCCTGCCTGGGGATCCCTCCACCAGGCCCACTCCCTATGGAGTGTTTGCTGACATCCCCATGGACCAGCCTTGTGTTCCACCCCCAGTCCCCTGAATGGGCTCCACATCCAGATCCTTGCCCTGCCGTCAGCATCTGGGATCTGACAACTCTTCTGTGAAGTCCTTCCTGCTGTGGCCAAATAGATTCATCACTGTGCCTCTGTGACCCAGCATGTCCCCCGACAGGAGGGTCCAGGCAGCTGGGCCATGTATCCCTCACCCATCCCCTTCCTATTCCCAGGACTTACCACTGGCATCTGGTGGCACTCATGGAATGAATTAGAACTGAAATATTGTACTGGATAGAGATCTTTAACTGGTGGGACTCATTTAAAATAATTAACATATCTTCCTATGAAAATATACTAACATCATTTTTAAAGTTACTATTGAAAATAATAAACCATGTTTTTGTTTTTATTTTATCAATCTAGACACATAACTTTTACCTTCTAAGGTGTATATGACTTCCTATGGAAAAAGGGATCACTCTTATTTAGTGAAATCTAAATTAACGCAACCACAGATAATGTGTACATCTGGTGCATGAGTCAGTATGGGTTTATCCTTTGCACATGTCTTAGAGTTGTCAGGAGTATCCTGTCATGGGTAAAAGAGAGGCTAGTAGCCAAAGGTTCCCCCACACCCAAGCTAAGCCATTTCCTTTTTGAAATGAATGTAGCTGGTTCCCTGGTGTGACCTGGAGCCTCGATGTGTTGTTCACTCCAGGGATCCTGCCATCCACAGAGCACTAGGCTCCCAAACTTCCCTCCCTGACACAGCAGACTGCTGCCAGGGAGTCCTGCCGACCCCAAACAGACTGGCGTTGGAGGAGAGTCTGTGTTTTGACAGGATATGGACAGATGCCTTTGTGATGGGAAGAGTCTGACCTCAGGATCGATTTCCTTACACGCAGAACTTTCACACACATCCCATATGCATGAATGGAGCCACAGAACACGATATAATGTAGCTGTGAACCCACAGCAGAGTGCATTTGACAGGGTTCTACCACATGCAAGAACATTTATTGTTGCTGCTACTGGGCAGAACACAGCTACATAGAGACAGGTCACCAGAGCTCAGCAGGGCCCACCAGTGACAGTACCATGTATCTTAAGATACATCACAAGTGACCCTAGCTGGGGTAGGGCAACGTGGAGCAGTTCAGGGGTATTCAAAAGTCATTAAGCATGAAGGTTTCCCTTATTTTTTGATGTAAGGACGGACCACCCTAAACTGGAAAGAACTCAAGCCCTAGTCTAGACAGATGGGTCTGCGACATGGGCAATGATTGTTTCGTCTCCCTAAGCCTTGGTATCTCTGTCTGTAAAATGGGGAGATTGATAACCACCTCCAGTGTTTTATGAAAGAAAAGTAGTGCAAGCAGAGAGGCCAGCATGTGCTCAGCACACTGCAAATGTGTGGTAAGTGAGAAATTGTCACTCAGACTGTCTCCCTGTTCCTGGTCCTCTCCTACCATTTCTTCTACTTCTGCAGTGCACTCTTTTGTAATGGTATCAGCTTATGCTCATCACCTATTCCCCGTGTGTGAGATCCGTGGGAAAGGAGAGTGGCATGTGCTTCCTGATGGTCCTCGAGTTCCCTGCATCCTCCTGCATTTACTTCCAAAGCCCAAGTCCATGTCCTTGTCATTGCTGCTTCTCCTCTCTATTTATCTCTCCCATCTCAGACAATCTAAATCCACCAATACCCCAACAGATTAATTTTCTTAAATTGATTGATTTTAATTAATTAATTTTCTTAAATTAGAATTTATTTCCCTTGCATTGCTTTCCTGCTCAGAACGCTCTGTGTAAGGCCCATTTCCTGTAGGCCTGTGTAAGCATTTGCAGCCCTCCACAAAGGGCCCCCAGTTGTTCCCCTGCTTTGTCCCCATCAATTCCTCCCTTACCTCTGCAATGGCCCCTCCTCTAGTGATCTCACCTGTACTTCTGCAAGCTGCACAGGCTTTCAACCCATGTTCTGCCAAGTGAGCAGGCAGAGGGGCTTCTCCACGACACCAGGACTCTGGGGGAGCCATTATAGAGGCCTCTTCATGACTCCTCAGCTTCAACCCTGGGAAGAATGGTCTAGGAGTGCCCCAGGCATCCTGTGAGCCCCTGTAGGCCTGCCTGGCTCTGTGCTGGAGCACAGGCTTTGCTAGTGACTAGATTGCCCTGGAACCCACAGCTGAACCCTCTCCGAGCTTCCTAATTCCTAGGGGCTGACTGAAGCAGCAGGGGTCCAAGAAAAGATGCCTGCCTCTGAGGATGGAGGCAGAGCCATGGACTGCAGACTCTTCTGACTTGGACTATGAGAATGAAAGTGTGTGGCATAAACTGCTATGTTTGGGGTACCCTGCTCCAGCAGTCACTAGAAGCTGATAAAGATAGTGCTACTGCTTTTCAAGGTAGGCTCAGGGACACTCAGTGAACACAGCGCTGTTACCCATAGAGGAAGAGTGAAGGTGGGCCAGCCCCATAGTGCTGGGTGTGTGGCAGATGCCCAGTAGACCTCGGGCTCCCTGCTTGAATGCTGCAGTTTAGGAACCCTTTCAGGGAATATGCTATGGGGCTGCCCTGCCTGTGCCTCGTCTGTAGTACTGGCCTGTGGGTCTCAGCTCCTGTCATCGGGTATATCGTCACCTGGCCCTCTACGTTCCTTGACTCCACCTCTGTGTCTCTTCAGCTGCACTTGCTCCCTGCTCTGGACTTGCAGGTTCTGGGAAACTGATGCACACAGCTGCTTTGCTCTTCCTACTGCCACCTGGGGGAGGGTGCTGATCTGCTCTTCCTACCCCCAGAACTGATTATCATATGACTTCTGTGCTCCCTCCCCACCCCAAGGCTCCAGGGCTGTTCCGGGCCTCACCTCATCCAGGTGGCTGCTTGCTCTCTTCAGGATGGCGATAACAAGAAGGCCCAAGGTTGACCTTTGGGTCGGGAGTGCTGCTCCAAGGCTGGGGTGCAGAATCGCTGCTCTTCAAGCTCTTGGTGGGGGGGGGGGCAGCTGGCTCTGCAACAGCAGAGGATGGACGTGTCTCCCTTGTCACCTGTGCTCTTGAGACTGACATCCTATCTCTCACAGGGACCCTTGTCTCAGCCTTCACTGTGCTGTGTGGAGCCCGCACGGACCTCCCTGACAGGCATGTGTGCTGTGTCTTCTGGCTGAACATTGCAGCAGCCCTCATCCAGATCCTCACAGCCATCGTCATGGTGGGCTGGATCATGAGCATCTTCTGGGGCATGGACATGGTCATCCTTGCTAGTGAGTAGCTGTCAGCGCTGCACCTGTCAGTGGGCCCAGGGTCTGGCAAGGTGTGAGGGCTGGAGCAGTGGCTCTAGGTCGGGCTGGATGTGAAGGCCTTTGTGGCTGGCTGAGGGCCTGCGCATTCCAAGGGCTCACCTATGTCCTCTCCACACCTGACCCAGATGCTGTAGAGAATTCTGGGTGTGTGGTAGACTGAGTGTCCTTGCAGAATCCTGAGTTACAGACACACAAAAAGAGGAGGCCCCTGTTCAGCCAAGACATAGTTGCTTTGTTTGTCAAAGAAACAGGCCCAACTCCAGGGCTGGAAGCCCTGGGGGAAGCATGGGAAAGCACAGGCCCTTGTCACTGTGCTGTCCCTTCCTGCACTTTCCAGGAAGGACAAGGCCATGTGGCAGATTTCCGCACAGGAAACCCTAGAGCTGTGTTTTTACAGCCAGAGCTGTATAATTCCCTCTCTGATTAATCTAAGCTCTTTACTTCTTGGTGCTGAAGCCTTCCTAGTCCTCCTGTGTTTTGAGTAGATCTTCATTGTCCTTTAGTGCAAACTTAATTCAAACAAAAAACTGTTCTGTAAAAAGTGTAAAGCTGCAAAAGCAGGTTCACTAATGGTTTGATTATCCTTTTATAATAACCTAGCAAAATCTGGAACCAGGAGCAAGCTATCCTAAGCAGCTGTGCAGGCAGGTCTCCCTGTACATATACCACACATGTTCCCGGATGCAGAGGTGACAACCAGGCCATATCTCAGGGACTTTGCCCTTCACCCCATTCCACCTCATCTCACCCCATAATACTCCTTATTGGGCCTTACACCCAGCAGGCCATTCACTAGAGGGATTGCTACAGCTGAAGAAAGACTGTGGCAGGTGAGGGCAGCAGAGACAGAAGGGGAAGCCCAGGGCTCGGAGTTCTAGAGTGACCTAGAATGATCCACACCAACCTAGCCTGCACTGGGATTCTGTGAAGGGCACGTACATGCCAGAGACAGGGTCAGAGACTAATGAAGATGCAGTACCAGAGCCCAAGAAAGAGTCAACGCAAGAGTATACTGGTCAGACTGGCTGCCCAGAAGCAGGTCTTCCTGGAGCAGAGGTCAGGGGAGGACAGGGGTTAAGTTAGAGCAACCCTGGCACATGTCATACAGCCAGAGTCAGCTCTTTGGGTGGTATGTACACTGATTTCTGGCATGCTGTGTTTGTATCAAATTTTTGAGAATGATCTTTGGGGAGCCACACAAGAAAGGCAGCCGCATCTGCTGTTATCCACTTTCCTGACTGGAGCAGACTCATTCCCCATCTCAACAGGGGGCCTTTGCCCTTTCCCCCAAAACTGTACCTTCCCTCATGCAATCAGTGCTTACTCTGTGGGACAGAGCGTATGTCCAAGGTGGCCCTGTGAAGGGAATGACCTCAACTCAGCTCTGTACCAGTTGACAGTGGGTAATGGGCTATTCTTGCTGGCTCGCTCAGCCCCTCCCATGAAAGTAAAGGGAACTTTTCAATGGTAATGCCACAGGGTGATCTTTCCTATGGCACCCTACAGGATGTCACCAGAAAACACAGTATCAAGAAAAATTAAGAGGAGAACCAGAGAAATAGAGAAGGAAGCGTAAGTTACAGCCAAGAACTCACACACAGGCTGCTCTAGTTATATTGGTAACAACAAATAACCAACAACAGCTTGACTCGGTTGAGTCTGAATGAGTACTTGCCAGGTCTAAGGTGGCCTTTTCCTCTTGCCCTGCCCCTGGCAGACACCGCTGGCCCATCGCAGGACAATCTCACACTTCCTCAGAGATGGCCTTCAAACAGCCACATCTGGTCAAACCAAGACGTCTGTGCAGACATCACCACAGTGGAGCTGGGGTCCTCCCCAAAGCATTAGGCTTACACAGGTGGCTGCTGGCCATAGAAAGCGCTAACCCCACAATCCAGGCACCACAGGCCTGAGACAGTGCCAGGCTGCTTCAGCCACTTGAGGTTGTTCCTGACCCTCCCCAGATCCTTGCAGATTTCACATCAAGGCCAGCATGGACTGGGGCCCGGAGGAGAAGAGCAGAAGGTGGGTGTGGCTGCAATATGGGGGACCAGCCAGTGCTTTTGATCAATATCAAGGGTAGGGAGGCCGTTGCCATGCCCCTACCCCAGCCATGCCACACACCCTGTGCTGACCACTTGGTCCCCGTGAACACAGAGCTCCCCATGCCTGAGACCCTGGGGACTGAGAAGCCACCAGTGTGGCGGGGACCTGCCACGGGCCTGTCTTGTTTTAGATCACAGGCCCTCTGAGTAGCTTCTGTTTTCATACTGTGTTTTCTCTTTCCCTGTGCTCCTCCCCCTGCTGCCTGGCATCTCTCTGTTGCTGCAGTTTCGCAAGGTGAGTCTGGTGACAGGCTGGTGACAGTCTTGTGCTGGGGGTGCCTGGCTCCTCGCCCCTATCCAAATGCATCCTCACCGCTATGCACACATCCTGCCCTGTGTTGGTCAACAGGCTTGTGTTTCTAGTTTTTAGTTGTGGAAAATGTTTAATGACAAAGGGAGAGCACCAGGTAGAACGAGTTAGCAAGTGTGCTCCACGGCCTGGGTTACCAGCACCTTTGCTAGCCAGTGGAGTCCAGGAAGCTCCTCCTTGGGCTACGTTACCTGGATGACGGTGCAGCTGGCTGTGGAGTCCACTGCTGCAACCTCAGCTATGCAATTTCACCCCAATCAGTGAGCAGCAGCTCCCCCTGTGGCAGCTGCCTTCCAGCCTTCCTGCCGGGCCTGAGGGTCGCACACAGAGGCAGAGTAGCTACTTAGCACACTTGAGGCCCTAGGCTCATTCTTGGTACCACAAATTATAATAACAATTTTGAAAAATTTTTTGGAGAAAGCTCAGGAGTATCAACAGTGTTTTTAGGGCTCAGAGTGCTCCTGTCCCCCACCTTGTCCCAGCCTTCCAGTCAGTGGCCTCCTGCTACGTGCTTCCTTCTGTCGTCCCCTTCGTGACCTGTATCCGTGTTGGAGACCCTCCCTGTACTTTCTCCCCAACCTCTGAATTCCAACGTTACACTACACCAGTGCAGGGGACACTTAGCTACAGTGGCTTCCAGGGTGTGGACTCAGGAGCACATGGATGGCATTTCAGGCTCCACCCTAAATACCCCCTCATAGATTCCCAATGAACTCAGGAATCCATGATTCTTAATTCATTAACTTTTTTCCGATTAAAAAGTCAAAGCCCTCAGGAAAATCCGGGCCCTGGCAGGGCAGCCATATATGCTGGAGTATGAGTAAGGCCTCTTGTGGTCTGGGGGCTCCTCCTGGAGAAATCGTAAAGGAAGCCAGCATCTGACCACCTCTCTTCTTCCTCTCTCTCACAGGGTACAAGGAGCAGGGCATTCCTCAGCAGCTGTGAGCCCATGGGACCTGCCGGGGAAGCCCAGAGTGGCCCTAAGGAGGCTTCACCAGGCAGCTCTGGGCCCAAGGACCTTTCCATGCTCTCTTCTGCTGTGTCCTGGATTTGGGGTGAAAAGGGGGTATTTTAAAGAATATATTATTTATTTTGAAAACTTATCTGCTTTTCCCAGCCAGCTCTGAGGGCTGCTGGCTCCCCCTCCTGCTCGGGAAAGCAGTGTAGGCACCTGAAGCATCCGTCAGGGAGCAGGGAGGCAATGAGCGTGTGGGCACAGACAGGCTGGGCTGCTTCGACTTAACCTTGCTCAGCAGAGCCTACTGCTTGCTGCTGGGCAACCAGCTGTCAAACAGGGTCTCTGTGGGCCCTGCCAAGGTGACTGAGAGCAATTTCCATGCCCTTCATGCCTCACTGGGTTTCCTTGCTCTGTGGTCTCCAGGGGACAGCAGCAGGGTGGGAGTGAGGATGGCCGGATGCCTGGCCCTGCAAAGGGCCTGTACTCATGGCTGGCCCAGGGCCGTGTCTGCCTGCTTGCTGCTGAGAGCTGTGGTTGGGCGGGTCTTGGCTTTGTTTCCCTGTACGAGGGGGCAGGGATTCCACCCCCCAGGCACAAGCGACAGAGGTGCCAGAAGTTCAGGCACAAAGGTGCCATACTGAGGCATGAGGGGGCATGCCACATAGTCTTCTTCAGAGTGTGCAGTGCTTCTCCTGGTCCTCACGGCTTTCTCTGAAGTTCTCAGAGCGACATGAATCTCCAGGTGCAGAACTTCCTGCACCCCAACTAGTGCATGCACACTTCTGCCGAGAATCATGTGAAGGTCGGATGGGCCGGGATCAGTGAGAACTGCAAATAACCTCACCTGTTCAGGTTCAGTTTCACCACTAAGTAAGTCACGGGGAGAAAGTGACTGGTGGATGGCTCATGGGGCTCCAGAACATGAAGTGATGCTGCAAGGTTGTGGGCCTGGATCTGAAAACCCTACATCAAGCAGGAGCGCTGGAGGCTGGAGGAGATTGTCGGTGACGCACACGGTCCTTGGGCGCCTAGGGAACGTGCGCTTGCACAGCTCCTCTGTAAGCAACTGTTATAAAGTTAGGTCCCTGGTAGAGACAGAGACCGACAGGTGTGCGGGTTCCTGTGGTCAGGTGCCCGTCTGCAGTGATGTGAAAAGAGATTCCCACTGACAGCACCCGGACGGCTATTTTTACCTCTCTTCCTTGCACTCTTCTAATGCAGAAGGCATTCACTGGGGCTGCTCCTCAAGAGGCGCTTTTTGTCTGTCAAGGCTCAGTCAGGAGAATGACCTGGCCATCTTATCCACTGCTAGATGGGGGAAAGTGAGAAGCAGGGCCACCTCACCAGGCATCTAGCCCACCTATCCTGCACTTTGCTTGGCAACCAAAGTCCTGCTAGGGAGCGGCAACTAACAGCTTCCTGACTCCCCAAGAATCTCTTCCTGTCCCTGGTTCTCTCTGGCTTGACAGAGCCACCTGCCCACTTTGCCAAGCCCTTCAGAGTCCACTGACCCTCAGGTCCTCTGTCCTTCACAGCCCAGGCTAGCTGTGCATTTGACCCTAGGCAGTGTCTTGGCCTCCTCCTGCCCCTTCCTTGTGACCTTACTGAACCCAGGTTTTGGGGGGCTCTCTCCTGTCCAGAGCCCTCAGTATCTTGAGGTCTGGGGTCTGATTTGGTTTTGTGCAGAGAACCTGAGCCTTTAGCTCTGTGCACACTCATCCTCCAGCAGGCAGGGATGCTCTCTAGGAAGCTGAATCAGAGAATGGAGCCACCCCTAGGATCACCCCTAGGATGATGCCACTCCACAACTTCCCCATGCAGCCCACTGCCCATACCTACCCCAGCCCACCAGCTCCCTGCCACTACCCAAGTGACAAGTCTCTGAGAGGCTGCCCCCAAGGGGAGAGGACAATCTCATTCTTCTGGTTGGGGCTGGGGGTAGCTGCTAAGGGAGTAGCAAAGAGAATAGTTGATGTCACATGTTCAGCGATACAATCCAGACTCAGGCAGGGTTTCCTAGAGTGGCAGGTGTCACCACAAGTACCCATTTGGGATGGTTTAATACAGGGGTATGTGCTTGGAAGTCCCTCCCCTGTTCACAAAATCAAGAGCTTGCAGCCTGGGGCCTCTCCACAGAGAACTGGATTCAAGGAGCTAGGAGGCCATACTAGGCACCTGTTGCTGGACAATGCATTTGGGAAGGTGACTAGGGGTAGGGCCAGCTCAAAATATCAGCCCTTTGAGACACCATGGTCTCAGCATTGGCCTCAGAAGAAGGGGTGATGATAGCCACCTGGGCCATCAGAGAGCTGTGTTCGTGTAGGAGACTACAGCTGGCTGAAGAGCAGAGAGCTCTGCCACTAGCAGGCACTTAAATGGCTTGGGGGCTCCTGGTGACAGTGGGGCTTTGCCTGTCTTGCTCAAAGGCTAGCACAAGATGACAGTGCAGAGGTGCAGGGCCCCTTCCCCTCCCAGCCTCTTGAAGGTCAGTGTATGGCAGATGCTGCCTAGCTGCAGGAGTCATAGTGAGTGAGACACTTCAGGCCTAATGGTGACACTGTGGCAAGAGTGGGACCCTGATGCTAGGTGAGGCCTCTGGCAGCTGGGGTGTCCTGGGGAGCTGTTGAGGACTTCAGGCTGAGATGCCCAGGTGGTAGGCACAGCAGGAGCCAGTGGCACCCATGGGGCTTGCCATGCTGATACACTGCTGGCCTTCCCCTGGGCGAGTGCTGGCTGGGAAGGAAGGAAGGGACAGGCAGCAGGGTCCCCTCCCTCTGCTGCCCCAGACCCACATGACTACATAAACAGCCCCACATGCTGGCCCTGCCCATTGCCCTTCCCTATGCTGAGTTCTCCAGAGGTTCACAGAGGCTACTAGGCCAGGGCTCACAGGGGCGGAGCTGGCAGTGGCCCCACAGCAGGGGCAAAGTACCCGCAGCCCTGCCCAGAGGAGGGAGACATCGGAGAGTGGGAGACCCAGAGAGGTTCCTCAGGAAAGGTCTTTACCCCACAGACATAGGAAGGTGAAAGAAACCAACCTCGGGAAGGAGCCCCCCGGCCATCACCCCACCCTATAGTGCTCCCTGTCCTCAGTTTTCCCCTAAGCCCACACATGTGGGCTTAAGCAGGACCCCCTGAGGGTCTGAAATGATGGGTTTAGAGTAGGTCTGGCATTTGGAGCCACCTGGTCCTACCCCAAAGAGCAGGTCCCTGCTTTTCCCACCATGCAGACACACAGCCCACAGGGGAGTCAGCCTCCTCCTGTCCCCATGCTGGCTCCCACGGCCATCTCAGGCCCCCACTGAGGTCACGATGCCTTTTACTGTGTTAGCAGTGTTTGCAAAGAAAGTTGGAATATGAGCGTAAATTCTCTGGCTAGTGATTGGAAGTGTAGTTTATGGTCACTGTCTCCCCTCTTGCTGGCATCCTTTGAAGGTCCCATCACAAGGGCTGAGGGAGGAGGCTTTCAAGGCCCCCCAACTCTCCAGCAATTCCCCCCAGGAGTCCCCAACCTCACATGGGGTTGGGGACTTCAGGTGTGGGGCACTTCCTTGCCCCTGGACAGAGAAAGCACCCTGAGTGCCAGTGCCAGTCAGGTGGTCCTTTTTCATCAGATGGTGGTTTTATAAAAACATCAGGCTGAGCAGGGACTGAGAGCTTTCCTCAGCTTTCTTCTAAGTATCACTTTAGAGGTCCCAGGGTTCCAGAGATGGGGAAGCTCTTATGCTCACAGTACACCCCACCCTACACCTCATGACACAAAGAAATGGGATCCAGGGGCTGGGGATTTAGCGCAGCGGCATAAGCACCTGCCTTGCAAGCAGGCGGTTGTGAGTTCGATCCCCGGTACCGATAAAAAAAAAAAAAAAAAGGAAGAAATGGGATCCATTTCAGCCAGAGTGGCCCCAAGTGCCCCCCATATGCCAGGAATGAGTGCTGGCCTCAGTTCTATTAGGGATGTCTTGGGCCTCAGTTTAACCTGCAATGGACCCTGGGCAGCTATCATGTATTCACATTTCTGTCAAAGCTGAGGAAGTGGAAGATCTGGCCCTTCCTGGCACACTGGGCTCCCATCACAGAGCTGCCTCTAAAATTCCAGGCCCCTCCTGGGACTGTCTGAGGGTGGAAAGGCACAGTTTGTGTGTATGCTGAGCTCCCAGTGCAAATTCTAAAGTCTTTCATTTGGGTTAACTGGGGACCTGAGTTCTCAGCCCCTCTCCCTGGATCTACCACAGTGCCCAGCACACAGGTTGGTCTGGGCTCCCCAGTGGCTGCCACAATTTTACCCAGGTGGGCAGGGGTTCGCAGGTGCACACACCCACACACCCACATGCACACAGGCATGCACGCATGCGCCCACATAGCCCCCTGACTGCTGAGCAAGCAGGACAGCTCCGCTGGGAGATTGGGGATTGGAAACTCTTACCAGGAGCCCACGCCCCCTTTCTGAGGGACCCTCTGCTCTCAGGACAGATATATCCATGTCCCTTCCCCCCATAGGGCCCTCATCCTCCTGGGGCCTCTGAGTGCGGTCCCCCACCACCCACCCTGGCTGTGTTCATCCCCACGTCCCTCGGCGTGGCCTCTGTGGGAGAGGACCCAATGGAACACAGGAAGACAAGAGGAGTGAGTCCTCTGCCCAGGGCCTCTGGGGGCTGGGACAGTCTTCTCTCCTGAGACCTCACTCTGTCCCCAGGACCCACTCCTTGCCTCCAGCGATGGAGAAAGGGAAGAAGGGGTGAGGGTACCCATGGAAACCTGTGGCTGTCCCTTTTCATGACTTAAGTCCCACACATCATACATGGCACCGTTTTAAGGACCACCCATGTGAAAACAGGCTCGGAGCGTATGCATGGAGTGCGTGCTGTGCTGAGACCTGCAGGGGCCGGCACTGCACTGGACTCAGGAGCCCTGCTTTTCTGCTAAGTGAGTCACTGTCCATCTCTATCGTTCTCAGACAGTCCTCACTATGGCCTCCCGTGCTTTCTCAGATCACTTCAACCCAGCTCCACCAGGGACCCCAGTGCACCCCAGAGGATAGTTCCAGGCCATTTCAAAGACTGGAGATTTTCTCAGAAGGAAATAACTAATGTTGGAGACCTAAGGCAGTTTCCAGACTTGCTCCAGCCCAGACCTTGCCACCTGGGCCGCAGCCTGCTGCAGCATCCATAGGCCTGCATGCTCAGGAGTCTCCATATGCACCCCAAGGATCTGAGCAGGCTCCCCATTTCTCCAGCCTCCTGCCAGCTTTGAACTCCTTCACTTGAGCAGTGTCACCATCCCTGTCATGAGAAATAAAACCCATATACATATCTTCATGTATATATTTATATATACACCTTTGTTCCCCTTATACATACATAAGGCATGCATCTCTTTGACATTCCAAGTTTGTGGGTTTTTTTATCTTGGAATATGACTTTGGAAACCTTCTTTCTCTCCCTCTTTTCTATGTAATAAACATTCACACGACCTTTCTGGTGGTTCTGAGATCTCTGTGTCCTTTCATTTTCATAATCAGACCTCTGACTGCTACAAGACACCTTTCTTCCTTGTTTGCAGTTTTTTTTGGGGGGGGGTTGCTGGGGATTGAACTCATGACCTTGCGTTTGCCAAACAGGCACTTATGCTGCTGAGCTAAACTCCCGGCCCCCCTGTCTGCAGTTTTTGCCACTGGTCTCCTTCCCACTCCAAGGGCTGCCTCACCCTCTCTCAGATCCTCTCCAAGTCCTCCTTTGTGAGAGGACTTCACAAGTCACTTTTCGAGCTCCCACACGGTGGTCATCTGATCCCTTTATGACCAAGAGTACACATGTGTCAGGATGGGAGTCCAGCTGGTGCCCAAACTCTTGCCTGACTGTTTGAAATGTAGTTGATGAGGGAAATGTGAGTGGTACATAATTTGATAATGGCGTCTCCCTAAATGAGAATCTGTGGAAGTCCTTAGAACTTAGAAATCTTAGGGAATGCTGACTTTTGAGGATGTGCAGGGCACTGCCCACATCCTAGCAAACAACTCATTCATGATTGCTGAAGACCTAAATAAATTATTGAATTTGTGGATGAGGAGGAATAAATATATTAGATGAGTAAATCAAAATCCCCAAAGCTCATGACAGGCAAAGGCAATCTAACAAGATGAAATCTAATCACATAAAAGAGTTCTGCTTGCAATGAGCCAGCCCCTCTGCCTTTCCTGGCACCTGGGGAGTATCTGACAGGCAGCTCAGTGTTCTCCAGCATCTTGATCAGGCTGACGAAACAGATACACGAAGCACAGCAGCTGGGGCGCAGTGCATCCCACCTCCCACCTGCTACCTGTCTGCAGCATCACATTCAGCATAGCCACCGTGATGGTGAGTCCCACCTCATGCCTGCTCCTCACACACCAGGACCTGCAAGGGGGCCAGCTATTCTGGTCTGTGTGCTAGCTAGATGTCAAAGTCTTTAAGCCCAGCTGCCCAAAGGAACAGTGAGCTTCAGAGGTCAGCAGTGGTGAAATGCAAGCTCAACTGCTCTGCCTGTCAAGGCCCCAAAATGCACCTAAGCACTGGGCTGGCACTAGGAACTGCCAAGAGCAGCATCCAAAGTCCAAGGAGCATAATGCACCAGGCCCCTCAGGTGCCTCACATTCTTAGGAGCATTTCTTGAGTGCAGACATCTGCCAAATACTGGATGTATCCAGATTCCCCAGTAACATTCTCAGCCAAGGGATTCTTTCTCTGGAGTCCTCCAGTTTCAGAGGGGTTGGTCACAAGGCATAATGGAAGGGGCAGTTATTATCGCCCTCCAGCCCTCAAGTTATCCAGATTCCCTTTCTTCTCTGGGCCCCAGCCCTCTTAGCCTTAGGAAGGATGACACAGGCTGAGTCAGCCTGAGCCTCTCCTGGAGGGTAAATATAGGTTCTTCATCAAGAGCTCTCCTCAAACCGGAGGGAAGAGATCATGGCTCACCCAAAGAATCCTCTGTACCTGGAGATTCCAGGCCCTGGTCAGTTACAGGAAGTGATGCAGAAGAGGACTTTGAGGGTAAAAGGTGGGTGGGGGTGGGAAGACCATGGCTGGGCCTGTGAGTGGGGTGCCAACCCAGCCTTTAACTTTCGGCCTTTGGGGAGGAGTGGAGATCAGACTTGGGGCAGAGAGGGCCAGGTGGTGAGAAGACAATGGGGCTGTGTACTGTACCACCAAGTCCAGAGGAACAAGGCAGACATTTCTCAGCTTCTAAAACCAATTTGGCCCCTGATTAAAGCTTTTAGGGAATGGTCATGTGACTCATGATTTGGTTTATTTTATGTACATTAGGAACAATTCTATTGCCCCAAGTTGAGGTGATAATAATAATAATAACCATCAATAATATCAACAACTGTTATCATTTGTGTCACACTATATTATATACAAGGTACTTCCCTCCTTCAAGAAGAGTATTCATTCGAACTGGCATTGACTCGGTGTCTACAAGGCAGGAGTATTTCTGGGTGCTGCTTTGTCTGCACAAATCTACAGGGTGACTGAGATTGCTGTCTCATTAATACCTAAAGACACAGAATGAGAGGGGTTAAGCGAATTGTCCAAAGACTCAAAGCTGATTGGTAGGAGAACCTCAGCTTTGATCTTATCTTTGTTATGTGTCAAGGGGACTCTCAGTCAGTCCCCCTACTTCCTTAAAGAACACTGCCTGGAACCCCTGTCTGGAAGCCATGCAGGGATAGGATCTGATGGCCCTGCCTCTACATGGCACCCACTGCCCTAAGCATCTGTATCTGGCCTGCCCGGGATAGCAGGTTGATGACAAGAGAGAAAACCACCCTCACTGATGGCATGGTATAGACAGAGTGTTTCCCCAACCTGTGACCAAGGACAGGAATGAAGGGTGAGTGTGTACACTTGTACTCAGGCAGGGGAGGCCCAGAAGCGGGGCAGGAGCTCACACACCCCCCTGCACTGCTCTGTGGACCTTAGAGTAAAGTCAGGGAGCCGAGGTGCAGCATGTCACACCCAGGAGCACGGATACCACAGAGCCAAGTGCACAGCGAGGGTCTAAGGAGGAGAGGAAGGGAAGGCCTTGCCCTGGCTCAGATAGGTTCCTCACCTTACTGCAGAAGAGAATCTGAGGACGTGCTAGTGAGAGGAGTGGCTGATTTACTGGGCTGCGTGAGAAAGTGGGAGAGATTGGAGATGTGTGGAAGAGCTCTGATGGTCACTGACCCATGGGTAGGTTTCTGTCCCCAAACAGAAAACTGCCACAGAAGATGCCATCAGCTAGGTGACAGGAGCTCTCCCACACAGGGAGTGCCATGGGCAGAATCAGGCCTATTCCAGTGTTGTGACCAGGATCCTTATAGAGGAGACAAGGAAGTGACATGGAAAATGGCACAATCACATCGAGGACAGTGGCCTCAAAAGGAACCATGCCCCTCACTCCTTGACCTTGGACTTCTACCTTCAGAGCTGTGAGACAACACACATCTGTTATCTAGGCTTTCTGGCCTACGAGTCTTTCTCACAGTACCTTGAGTGAACTAATGCAGTGACATAAACCAAGAGTTACCAAGATGGTCGCTTGTTGGCAGGAAGGGGCGAAGGGAAGACTCCCAAAGGAAGACGAGGCAATCGCAGGTCATCTGGTTGGCCAGCACTCTTGAGGCCCTGGAAAACTGTGGGCCAGGGGTGCCCTGGGTACTCAGCCACTTCCCAGTATCTGTGAGGCACACTCTGCAGCTGACCCTGGGCCCCACTGTCCTGGGACTGCCTAGAGGCCAGGGAAGCCGGGGAAGTGTTCTCAGCAGAGCGCTGGCTGCCTTGAGCAAGCACCTCCTGCAAACCTGGACACTACCCAGGGCTCCGAGAGAGGCTACAGCCTGGGCTGAGCCGGAGGAGGAAGAGGAGGAGGAACAGGAGGAAGAGGAAGAGGAAAAAGGCGAGGAAGAGGAAGAGGAGGAGGAGGCCTGCTACTGTGCTCCGAGCAAGGGCTTGATTGCCTCCCAGCACGGGGCTGGGTGTTTTCACTTTCACTAAAGAAGCAAGGCTAAGAACCAAAGCCTACATGGGAAAAAAACTTCTAAAACTAGGCCTATTGTTTAGTAGAGGCCAGGCCAGGAGGGGATCCCCAGAAGTCAGAGGACAGAGGATTCACTTCTGCTGTAGGTTTCTAGGAACATTTGAAGCACACCCAGAATCTCTGGGAGAAGTTGAGGCTGTGCTATATGGATTTCTGTAACAAAAAATAAGTTTGTGCTTCAAGCCTGCTGCGCCTGCCACCCTCTTCTCCCCTCATACATCCAAAACCCACCCTGTTCCCAGTCCAGCACAGCACTCACCAACAGGGAAACAAGGCTGTATGGATTGTGCACCGAAGCCCTCTCCAGGTGTAGCTCTGTCCCACTTACTGATGCAGGATAGGGTGGCGGCCCATCCCAGACTTTCCAACCAGAGTAGGTCTGTGGCTCCAGAACACCCCTCCTGTTGGGCCAACCTGGGATGAATTTTGTTTTGTTTTCTGCAACAGTTCTCAATATGCAGTTTAGGCTGGCCTTGAACTCACTATGGAGTCCAGCCTGGCCTTGGTTTGTGGCAGTCCTCCTGACTCCACCTCCTGATTGCTGGGAATACAGGCAGGAGCCACCATACATGTCTCCTGAAGCTTTTGTAAGCCTAAAATACTTAGAGTTTGTAGCTTGAAGCTACTTATGCCAATAGTTAGAAAACGGAGATGCAGAGGGGAGATGGAAGGAGTTTTACTCAATCATCCAAGATCAGTTTCAGCCCTGCCAAGCACACAGAGTAACAGCATGAGCCACCAGTGCCTCCTCCATCTTTCCCTTTCATGTTCTCTCACTAATAATAAAAAAGTCCTAGCTAAGCACATGCTCCACTGTCTCCACTATCCTCTCCCTACTCAAGGGCAATGGCCACCATCTATTCAGCTCCTGTAACATGCTAGACCTGGCCTGGATATGTCAGTCGGTGTTTCCTGACTATCACAAGTGACTGAAATAAATCAGCTTAACAAGAGGAAAGGTTTCTACTGGCTCACAATTTCAGAGGCTTCCATCCACTACTGGCTACCTTTGGTCTTTAGGCCTGTGGTGAGGCAGCCTGTCATGAAGGGAGCCCATGGTAAAGGAGGGAGTTTACCTTATGACACAAATGAACAGGAAGAAGAGGGGCTAAAGGTCAAAGGCATAGTCCAGTGACTAACATCCTGCTACTAGGCCCTGTTTCCTAAAGGTGCCACTACCTACCACTACTTCCATGGGCTATCAATGTCTATGCTGTCAGGGGACATTTTGGATCCGCGCTACAGCACTGCCCCTCTCCCCCCACACACCAGGCTGCGGGACATGTGTAATCATTTTCAAAGCATGACAAGTAATAAGCAGGATATTTTTGTGTTTCAGTTTTTCATCTCTATCTGTCCCTCCTGCCTTAAATGATGGTAAAATAAAACATTATTTAGAAGAAAAAGATGTTACTGTACACATGAACAAT